GATCATTAGTCTGCCCTTGGCAAATCAATCTATGATGATTCCTTGCTCAAACTCAACATTTAGAATTAAGGAACAAAGTGCTACTCGTAAAAATTTAGGCATAATCCATCAAGAAATATATTGTACTATTTCTCTATATCACTATATGTGTATGACCTTGTTAAATGATATTTTAGTTCAAATTTTTACACAAAAATTTATCATTCTAATCCAGAAAATGGCCAGAATATCAGCAAGTGTGAAATCAAAACAGACCATCAGCCTGATTAAACATTTAAAAAGCAACCTGTAACAGGGCAAAGTACTAGTGAAGAACTACTATTAGAACTACTACAGCAAAGACATGTTATTCCACTCAAGAAATACCTTTATAGCAACAGCCCAGTTAGTATGCTAGAATATATTTAGTATATAACAGAAAGGATTCTAAGCAGATCACTAGGAAAAAACTTTATCGTATGAATGAAGATCACTGCAGTATCCTAAGAGGTTCCTATGCTTAAAAACTTTGGATGTCAAGAAGTGGTTGAGGTAGACAGGAAAAGGTTATGCATTAAAATGCGGAAGGGACCACATACTCTGAAACTATAGAGTACCACTTAAGTTCTCCTCAACATCATAAAATAAGATGAGCAACAGAGACCAGGATCAGCATGATGCTAAACCAGAACACATCCTCCAATTTTATCCACTGTCCTGCCTTGCCAAAGAGCCCTTTGGACACAGCGTCTTCTCCATGACACAGCCATCATATTTCTACACCACAAGAAACTATTCCACAATTTAAAGAAACCAGCTCTCCTCCCCTTAAAGAGTTCTTACATGGCAAAATGGAGGAAATCTACTAGAAATGTTTGTTTTGAAATATGCAAATTATGTGAAGTTTCTTCACCATGAAGGCAAGCAGTAAGATGATACCGAAAATGGCAGTTCACTGAAAAAAAAAAATAAATCTGATCCGGTAATCTACATGTTGACATGGTGTTGGGCTCCATCATTCCATCAAGCAGTAGATACTTGTCTTAGATTCTTCTACTTGACTACTTTCATCAGATTAAACATCTGGGATTTAATTTAACAGTTTCAGCTTTACTAAGCTGTCACAAGAGCAGCCCCACTTTGATAACAGTAGCTGCTCCAATTATGGCTTGGTTTAGGGTTGACAAGTATAATGATTCATTCGTGACACTTGAGAAGAAATAAAAGGTTGTTTTGCATTACAGCTTTAAAAATGTGGGCACTTTTTTCATTTAATTTGTCACTTAGCTTTAGCTAAGAGGACTTTTAAATTGCAGTAAGAGGCAAATGGGGCTTTTAGTTTAAATGTAATCCCCACATTTAAATGATCTGTAATGGCACAGTGTTCAAATGGGAACACTATTGTTTCACAGTGGGCCCTGATGGTGACATGTGCCATTTGTATTCAGGTCCTGTTTTATCCATGTGGCTAAAGGGTTTCCAATTTAATTTCACAGCCAGAAGCCTGCAGAAAACACCAATTAACTTGCAGATCCCATTTGCTGACAAAACAGTCTCTTCCCAATGTCTGGCATCTGTCAGTACTCAACATTTACTTCCAAAGCAGAGCCTTGGAGCCATCATGATCCCTGGGCTGGGGCACAAAGTCAATTTCCCCCCCCTTGTTTTAAGGAAATATTTTCATTTTTGCAGAGAACAACCAACTTTTACTTAATTTTTCATGGATGAATATTAACAACTTCTTGATGTACTAAGATTCACAGTCCACTTTTTTTCACTTAGACTACAAAGAAGTTTAACTGACCTTTCTCTCAAATCAGAGATTTCAGCTCAACAGGCATCAGCGATTATTCACTGTGTATTTCCATATCCTCTCTCATCTTATCAATGCAATTTAATTAAAAGGCAAACCAAGGGGTTTCGGATAATTAATCATTATGACATACTGAAGTTTTCAACCATGGTTACCAAGAATCAAACAACTAAAGATCAGGATGTGAAAATTATGTACAGAGACACCATTTAAACAGCAACAACATGAAGAATTCAAACTCTGCTCTAAACTCTGCAAAGTGGAATTCATGTGTCACTGTGGCAAACTGGAAGGATTCACTAGTGCATCACTGAAATTACATCTAAATTCTTCTAGTATGAAAAGTACACAAGCAACCTTAGAGCTCTGACTTGTAATCTTGATCCTTCCAATAGAATACCTCTGGCATTCCATAAGTAGCAATTAGCTCATCCAACTCTTTGATGTACAACAGATGAATCTGAAGGGCATAGTTATTATATTCTTATTCCCAAACTAGAGGTTTTAAAACCCAACTACCTACTTATGTGCACAGTGTTTTTTGTTAATATGATGCTTTTGAATTGTAAATTACCTATGAAATCAGGTGTCTATACTAGATTTATATTTATATATATTTATATTAGACCTGAAGTATTTCATTTAGGGGTCTTGAGTGGTGGTTTCAATGGTTTATTTTAGGGGGGTTTGTTGTTATTGTTGTTGTTGGTTTAGGTGTGGGGGTTTTTGTTGCTGTTGTTTTCAAATCAGCACCTTGAAACGTTCAAACCCAATGTGACTTCTACTGAAATAAACAATTTACCATAAAATTCAACAAGAACTCTGATCAGAGCTCAATGTGTCCTTCCAGTACCCTTGCCAATGCCCAACGTCAGGCAGGAAGCACCAGTTAAGTTCTAATGAAAGGCTCAAGTGACCCAGTCAAGAAGCAAAGCTGAAGTTATTTAAGTATGCTTAAAAATCTATGTCAAGATAGAACTGACAAAGTGGCCATATGCCTAGCAGTTGGCAGACAGCATACTAGGGCAAGCAAGTAAACCTATATTAAACAGAGTTTATATTTACATACTTTTTATGTCCTAAAACTCTCCATCACTACAATGTTAAATTGCTACCTACTTGTGAAATAAAGGACAGACAAAACACTTTTTTAAAAGACATACATATATGCCACTCCCAGATTACTCTGAACTGCTAATACAAAAAGATAAGTATGCAAAGGCCTGTCTCACTCCCTCTGTTAATATTTTAGTTCTCCAACATCTCAGAAGATGACAAGAGGAGAAGCAAACATGACTTTGTAACATAACAATACCATCACTCCCTTATACTTCAAGGTCTGAGTTACCTCTTCCATTCGGAGCAGAGACTGTATGTTGCCAGGGCCATCTTGCTTTTCCTTCTGCAGTATCCTATTGTAAATCTGGTCTCCCTTAAAATCTCCCTCAATTTCAGTACATTCACTTTTTTATTTTCTTTTTTGTTTGTTTGTTTTATATGCAGGTTTCACATGGAAAAAGGGATGTGTTTGATGTGAAAACAGTGAAACTCAAGGCAAAATCCTAGCAAAAACACTGCAGAAGCTTGTAACTTTCACATCAGATGGGAGTGAAGCTGGAGAGATTCATTCAATTAACAGCATTTTGGAGGGAACTTGCTAAGCACCAGTGGAAGCACTGGTGGGAAGAAGAAATGGACAGTTTAGCAAAATAAACACTATCTGGAGGCGGAAGTTCTTAAGTTCTACCCTTTGCCTACTGCACACATGAAGTGATTGAAATATATTTGCAATGGAAACCACAGTACATGATCAACATACTTTGATACTGTTAAGAGGTGACAGAGTAGTTCATGACTGAAACAATACAGTCTGCCTCAGACTGCAGATACAGCAGCTCAGGTAGTGGTGAGGCTGACAGTTCCACTGCAGCTTTCTGGGAATGGCATCTAGAATTCTGATTAAATTGAGGTAAATTAAATTGAATTAATCCAAAAGTATTTCTTATTCAATGCTGCAGACAGATAGATTCCACCTCGTCTACCTTCAGACAGGTGCTGTCAAGAAAATGATGTTAATATGAAACTTATGGAACAACAGGAGCCACTACAAAAGTTTAACAAAACCTTTTATGTTTGACAGCATGTGTTAAGATTGCTGTGAAGAACACATTTCTGCCTCTCACCACCTACCAGCTTAACCCACATAAGCAATGAAGCATGAGACCCTCCAGTTTTCAGTATGGTGGGATGCTGCACGTATGTCCAGCTAGCCATGTGCCACGTTTGGCAAAAACTGTTATTTCCCAGCAAGTCAAAGGATCATAAAAATGACACAGTGAAATGCTTGTTACACTTATATCTAGACTCTGACGGAGCTTTGTCTGCTATAATATTAAGTTTAAATTATATATTGGGAAAAAAATTGTTTACTGTGAGGGCAGTGAGGTTCTGGAACTGGCTGCCCAGAGAAGTTGTGGATACCCCATCCTTGGAAGTGTTCAAGGCTAGGTTGGATGGAGCTCTAAACAAACTGTCTAGTGGAAGATGTCCCTATCCACGTCAGAGGGGTTGGAACTAGATGATCCTTATACTCCCCTCCAACCCAAACCATTCTATGACAAAATTCTTACAGATTTTGAAAATTTCTGAAGCAGTAATAAAAAACTTTATTAGTCAGGAACACTTTAGAGCAAGTGTGCTCAGACCTCACCAGTTTAAATATTCCTTTCCCATTTCATCCTGTGTTCTTCTCTTAATTATACAACTGTCATCTTTCTGGTCACCTTTTCCCTAGAGCACAGTAAGCATGTTAGTCTTCTGTTATTTGATCTCCTTTCCTACTCAGTAATGGACTTCTCTAGTTGTGAATTGATTTCTTCCTTAACCTTTCCAGTTTAGCACCAGCAGCTTATATATTCAGCCTCAGTTGTGTAGCTACATTTCCACTTTTTGCATTATTCCTTTTATATCCTAAAGTACTTGCAACCTGTTGGAATTGTACTTCTTTCATACCATGTTTCCTCTCCAACTGCAATTGTCTTATGCTGTAGATGAGAAATTCAATTTCACCCGACCTTAACTGAACAAGGAAAACTGCAGAAAAGTCTAACCTGCTTTGCCTAGTACCACAGTAACAGCTTCTCAATTTCAAATATGTAATTGTTCCTTTATTATACACATCAACACCTAAATGAGTCTATGCATTTACCCAGTTCATCCCAGAGCTGCCTATACTTGTCAGTCATTGTGGTTCCTTGTTGTCTCCAAAGCGACAGACGAGGGTCAGCCATGAACTGTTCTGTTATCAACGTCAACATGCGAGCTCCATTTGAATCCCTCATTTTTAGCATCTCTCGCACCTAGGAAACGAGTTTTTAATACAAACTTGAAAAGAAAGCAAAGAAATTGCAGTACAGACAAATATCCTGCAATGTTAAATATTCTGCTTCTGTTAAGTTAGAAATGCAATTTATATGTGCAATGTCAAATTTTTAAGTAGAAAAAATAGTCTGCCTTCCCAAATTTAACAAAATTTTGATTTCAATATCCAATTGCAATTCTTCAGAGAATTTTTCCACATGTAATCCCCAGGTGCATTATGCAAACTGTTGTAAAACTGATTTCTACAGGTTTTTCCAACGTTTTAGGGGTGGGAAGGAAGAGAACAGCAGAGCTGTAGGTAGTTGAAATGTTACTTCATATCCTTACACTGATCAAGACACATCAGATTGCAGTCCACTGCTGTACAACTCATTAAGTTGACATTTGTGTTCCTAAGATTTTGCCTTGTTTTAGAACAGTACTTTGAGTAAGACGCAAACAAGTACAGACTGGCTTCGAGAACATGGGAGAGAAAAAGGGTGCAGAGTACTCAACACACCTTTGCAAATAGCAAATTGAGCTGCTTCCCTGATCCATGGTATCCGCCTTGGGAGAGGAAGAGTTTAACTTGTTCCTGAACTTGTTCCTCATCCAAATGCCAGCAATTTTCATCATCTATGCTAGCACCTGCTGTTGGGTCAGGAGCACCTGTAAACAGCAAGAAAAGAAATCATTATGTTCTATATAAAGAAAGGAGGTTCTTCAGTCCAGGGGAGAGGACTACTGCAGAGGTTTTTGGATTTGTGTTCTCTCCTGTTTTGAATGCCTTGGTTTTAATCTAAACATTCTTTAAAATAGACATAAATTTCTCCTCAGTAGTCTTAAGCACTTAGAAATTACAGTCTATGAATAGGTATTTAAAGAAATAATATTCTCTTCTCTAACAAAACATTAAAATTAAGGTGAAGGGTTTTTTCCTCCCATCTCAGCATTTATACCAAAATGATTTTACAGGGAAAATTAAGACTTTGATTTATATTTCTACGATTGTGACGTTAAAACCATTCTCCCCAAAACACCTGTGTAATTCCTGTACCTTCAGCAATCTTGCTCAGGTTTAAGTGACTGCTAGTGAGCGCTGCTATTGATGAACATGAGGAGAATCATCACCTCGGTGCCTCTGAGCTGTGATGGCTCTGCAAAGCTAAACAAAGAGTAAAAAAATCCCCAAACAAATCCAAAGTCTTAAAGCACTAAAGGCATTTCCATCATAAATAAGAGTTACAGCTATTTAAGACCATGCTGCTTCCAAAGGAAGCATTTTTACATAGGCAAAGTCATCTGCACAGAGTCAATTCAGAGCAACTCTACCTGAATTAGTTTGGTGTCAACTGAATGACTAGATTTACATCAGGCAGTGCTTCGGCCACAGGCTTTATAACTCAAATTTTGCAGCTCAGACCAGTGACTTTCCCCAGTGGCCTCTTCTAAAGGATGACAAAATTAACTAAAACAAGTTCTTGCACCATCTAGCGACCTCTATTTTTCTGAAGACTCCTGCAACTCCATTGGACACTTTTTAAAAGGTCTTCAAACTGAAAGCACTGAAATGTACTTACCTATGGGTGTTGGACTCAGCTCAAGGTAAGGCATCACCATACTAGATGTAAGGTGCTTTAAGCATGCCCGAGACTCAAGTTAACATTTTTATTTTGGACTTGTCACAACTGTGTAATCTCTATCTAGGTTTATCTATTAGGTTTTGCAAAGATGTTAGAAATTGAATCACATTACACAATCTCTCTCTTTTAAATCCATGTCCATGCTACCTCTGAACAAAAAAAAGAGAAGAATACTGCCAGGAAAGGAAAATTATATAGATTTGTAAAAATCTGGGGGTTTGTCATAGAAGTCCTGAGAATCTGAAAAGCAAAGATACCTACAACTCTTCAGATGTATAGGAAAAAAAACATTGATTCAAGCCTCCATTTCACACTTGCAGCTCTGCCACGGAGATGAAGCTTTTAAGTGGTTGAAGAAAATGCTGCAATTTTTATTCAATGAAAACACAATCAGAAGATTTAAAGAGTCAGAGGGATGTCTTGTCTACAAGTTGCTGAGACAGTAAACAAAAAAATGTTCCAGCTCAGCAACTTCCTAAACTGCCTCCAATTTCAGAGCCTACACCTGGGAACACTGCATTGCTATATATATATACACACACACACATACATGTACACGCATATATACCTAAATTAACAAGGAATTGTGTCTTTGAAGATGTGAATGAACTCTCCTGCCTTCCACAGGAAACACACAGTGTTTCAAAAGACAGGAATCAAATCCAAGACAGTACAAAAACCAAAAAATGAAAAACCTCCTCTTTCTGTGAGTGCTTCTATCTTCAGTATGTTAAGTTTCAAGGGGCTTTCAATTTGGTCAGCTACACGACATACATAACAAGTCTTTGGCTGCAAGGAACAAGACAAAAAGGGAAATCAAGCCTCACAAGTATAAGTAGTGCAGCTGTTGCAGACCCAGGTTTGCAGTATCACCTTGCAAATAGTTTAAATATTTCATTGCTTTAAAACACAAAGAGCAGTGAAGAGGAACTATATAAAAACATCAGTATACAAAATACACTTATATTTTTTCTTCACCTCAATGGATATTTATCTTTAAGTAATCTTGGTGTGGTTGCTTTCAGACTGAATTAAAAATGGGCCAAGATTCCTCAGCTAAGGTTCCCTATTTAGGGGAAAAAATAAATTCCTTCTGTAACTGTTTACATTTTATCAAAAAGCTCACCGGTCAGTTTGTGCTAGAAGGTTAAATTTCAACACAGCTACCATAGATTCTTTAAGAACAGGATTCCTTTACAAAACAAGCATGTCCACTGCCCCAGGACAGCAGCACTGCTCCACCAAGGCTATTTCTCCCAATATGATCCCAAATATACCTTTCCCAGGAGCTCAGTATTGCTATACTCACACCAGTGTTATTTTCAAGCCAGGAGGCCAGAAGACTGTAAAAGGTGAAGATGCCAAGCCAAGGGTCTGAGCTCTATGATGCTGTTTAGCACAGTACTACAGATACATCTGACTCAGAATGATTATTTTCTTAAAAGATCTTATATAGGCTACACTTAGTATGATCAAAATTTTTGATGAGGTTGTATAAAGAAATTTCAGAGTTCATGTAAGCAGCACCAGCTACAGTTGTAATTCACTCATCTTTCAACACTGTTAGCAGTCTTCAGCCGATAGCCATCAACCAACAAGGCAGGGAGAAACCATGTCTGATCAGGCATAAGTCCAAACCACCTTCCCACCACGGCAACAGCCAGGCATCTTAATGGTCTTGCCAAGGAAGCCTCAGCTTACACTGCCCACGTCATTCCTGTTCTGGGGTCAAGACATGACTATCTCCATGTCTCTCAACTAGGCACTTCACAACTGGGTGAAGTGAACCTGACTGGGTTCACTTACAGTCAGGTGATCGCTGTTTCCTCTCCCACTCCAACACAGATCACGCACAGGATTTCTACACTACCACTTCTCCTCTGAAAACATGGGACTGGGTGAATAGATAAGGAACTATCTGAACAAGCAACAAGAGGGAGCTGTCTTAAGAGATATGAGAAAAGAAGGCCTAGCAATAGCTGTCAGGAAGGCTCAAGCTCAACGCCAGGCAGAGCTGAAGGTTCAACCCATAGGCAGTAGCTTTGCTCAGGTTGCAACACAGCCTTGAACAGCCACCACAAGGCCTTGGTAGAGGTACAGTTTGGCTACAGAGAGGAATATGGGCAGCCATGAATTTAAACTCTGCCGTGCAGTTTGGTACCAAGGTTAAACCCCCGTTCCCTGCTTGTAAACTACTTAGGTGCTTTAGAGGGATGTCATGAGGATAAATTAGGGTTTCACATTTGAACTATGAAAGTGGAAAGCAGTGTACAATTATACTAAGTATTAAAACCTGTAATTAAACTGTGTCAGTTTATTGTCACTAACACAATAATCTCCCTCTCTTCAAACTCTGGTTTTTTATTATTGTGACTGGTCTTTGAAATATACTTTACTTCATGTAGTTACAATTAAATACAATAAATATTTATAAGCAGTATGTAGATACAGACATCTATATTTACTCATGTTCTTTTGCAATCTTAGTAATCAAAGCAAGAATATTGTGCACAACTGTTTGTAAAACTGAACACCCAAATAACATTTGAAAACAGGGTAGCAGCCTTTTGTATTTAAGGTAATAGCAGGTTGCATGTTAAACATAATCAACTCCCAAGTTCTAAGAAGGAGAAAAAAAAATAAGATTGATAAATAAACTTAATATGCTCAGTCTTAATCTAAACAATGATTACATAAAACCAAAGCTCATAAAATTAATTAGTCAAAAATATTATTATGGCTTTGATTCTCCAAAAGTTTAGACATAAGTCACTTCATCTTGTAGTCAATTTCAGAACCCTTGGGTGACTTATAACACCTGTTCAGCAGTGCACAGCATCAAAGAAAAACTGCAACTGCTATGAAGCTCAGTGCTAACAACACAAAATATGAAGAGAAGACAGGTGATCCTAAGTTGCTGAGGGAAGTTAATAAATCCCCAACAGGTTTTTAACTTCAAAAAAATTCTCTCTTCCCTCTGCACATACAGCAAAATGCACTAACTTATTTACCAACAATATCTAACCTTTCCTGCTTAAGTCCATATCTCACAAACAACATATAGTGATAAGTTTCAAACTTCATTTGTGTATGGCAGATAAAAGAACATTATCAGAACAGATAAGTATGCTTTATTTTAATTAATTTTACCTTGCATGTGTTTTAACAAAATTCCATCATCTTCTATATAACAATTTTTATATTTATGTTTAATGTGTCTGAAAATACCTTTCCTAAAATTATGACTTTCATAAATTATTTTTGCATTTTGCAGCTACCGATCTTTCAATTTTTTTTTTACATTGTAGTACTTATTTACTTCTACTTGAATTTCTGAAATTTCTCTAGTTTTGGCTACTCCAACTCTGGCTCACTAAACAATTTGCATACTAAGCATTTAAGCACTTCACTTTCATCTTTCTTGAAAGGAAACTCACCTGCCATGTCCTACATTCTTACTTTGCAACTAATCTCTCAAGCAACTTATCCAATTTAGGCTGGGCCATGTGAAATACTTCATAATTTTAAAAATAATTTATCTTCTTTAACATTAAACAATCTCTTTACTAGTAGATCAGCAGTAGATTGTATTCTGTCGTTCAGCCCTACTCTACCCTACAATTTTCCACTAAACCCCCTGTTAAATACATTAAGTACATCTTAACACATATTCACCTATACCTCTAGATTGCCCTTTTGAACCTAAAATACACTAGAACAGGACTAGATATTCTGAAATTTTCTTTGAAGGCTTTTTTTGATAGATGTTTCCTTCTTGAATGCTTCCTCCAGCACTGCTAATAGGCATTACAAATTAATGTTTGCTGAGGATGTACCTATATTTGCCTAGACAAATACAGAAAAAACTATAGAAACAAGGTACCCCTCCTACTCAGAAGACAAATATATTTCAACTGCTTTCTCTCAGGTTCTCCTCCTTAAATTTAAGCTCATCTGCATGGGGGTTTGTTTGTACTGGCAAGTAACTTTTACTGCAAGTAGGAGAATCAGAGAATGGGAGGAAGTCTGGAGAAATCCACATAGCTCTTCTAAGAGCAGAGATTGCCACAGCAGCACTAAACACTCAAGAAAAGAAAAAGGATAGTTAAAAGTTAAAAATTAAATAGGTTTGCCAGGACATCCTTATACCAAAAAAGGTAGACTCTTTTCCACTATGCACATAATAAGAAATTAACTCTAATATGAGATTAATATGAAAACAGACCTTCCATCTCTCCTTCCTCCCATCTTGCAGTTACTTTCCCATTTCTACTCAAATTCTCACGAACACAGTTTGACCTTCTAACCAATTTATTCAAGTGAAAGTTTCATACCTATGAAAAGAAATATACAAAATGACAAACACAGCTGATAATCCATTGTCATCCTGACTGCTCTCTTCCTAGCATACACACCTGATAGCCTCCTCTGCTACAACAGTACAAAAATTAACAGGGAGGACAAAATCCTCATCTAAGCAGGATCCGAAGCTACACCCAGCTTCCTGCAAGAGCTTTCACATTGAAACCCAATGTGAGGCCAACAGTTCTGCAGTGCAGACATCAGGGTATCAGCATTTATACCTTCCTGTACCGTCTTCAGTACAGGAGATTACACACTACAGAACTCCAGTTTTGAAATCATCAGGAACATGTACAGCTGTAGCAGTGTCACAAAAGGAGATCAGAACATGAGACGTAAGACGTGCTTTTATGCTCTAAAAACATGTAAAACACTCTTGTAACGTAATCACCACCAAGTGAAAATAGACTGGTAAATACACAAGAGGATTCCCAATGAATCAGTTGTCTCTCCTGAAGAAGCTAGTGACTAGACAACACATTCCTGTGCTTCTAACAGCATTCTCTTATTTTTTCCTGCAGGAGGCTCAGCCATGAAGCAAGAAAGGACATTGCATCATTTATATCCACCAAGGAACTCAGAGTAATTGGTTATTCCAAAACCCATGTCATCAGGCCAAAGCCAGTCATCAAATGCTGCACAACACAGAATTTTGAGCAAATGAATGATTACCCAATTTACCTTTTTTGAAAGTACTGCCTAGTTGTTCCATCTAATCATCTCTTATCAGTCATCTCATAAACAAGACAACAAGAACACTGTGGTTAGAGCTCTTCTACATCCCAGACCATTTATACATACAAATAGTATTCAAGAGCTGATTTCTTTTGTGCATTACTGCAAATATATGAAAACTAGAACTAGTACAGTCACTACGCAAGAAAAATAAAAAATTTAACAACTCAAGTCCTGTATAGAACAACCCTGAAATTAAAACACTCCTAAGTCACATTGAAACGAATTTCCTCATCCAACTCCAGATTCAGGGCTTCCCTTTAATCAAAGCTGTTTCTGGTGTTTCTGTGCCAGGTCTCCTCTTAATTTTATAAGCAAGTTTTTCCTCTTACCTATCTGTGCCTTCAAGTAGCATTTAATATAATTTCTCTTCAGACACCAGTTCAGTGATGTCAAACTGTTCAACACAAGACAGTCTACAACACGGTTTTGTATTAAACTTAACATGTGAAGCACAGGAGATGACAGAGTGAAGGGTGATCTTAGATTCATCACCATATGATATTAGAACCAGAGACATTTCTTTTGGTTATTTTTCACAGATTTCTTTTGGTTAATTTTATTATTTTTAATTTAAGGAAATCGATTAAAGATCAGAGTAACAGAATTACATTATGAATCCCAGAAGAACACTTACTTGCTACATAATCAGAGGAACTTACATAATTCTTTTAAGGAAAAAGTAATTTTTTAGTATTGTGAACATTAAAAAAATTCAGGCCATGGTTTTATGTGAGTCTGAGAAGAAAAGCAGGAAACTATAAAATGTCTTTTAAAACATGGCTTTTTTTGGTAATAGCAGTTTATTTTCTTATGCTGCTTGGATTTTCTACTTTGGATTTTGGCATTTTATTAAGAAATACTGATAGTCAATATAATACTGCAATCTTTCTTACTAGGAGAACAGCAACATGTGTAAGAAACGTTTCAGTTTTGTGGATAATATTAAACTAACCTACTCAGATTCATTGTTAAATTTCATAACTGATCATCAACTCAGTTTTTTATTTCCTATTCTTTCTGCTATTTGAGCTGTGATATAAGTCTCAAATCTCTAAAAATACCTTATATAATAATGAGTAATGAGGTATTTTGACAATAAGAAAATATCTGACAAAGACTAGCATGTCTACAATTAGTATAATTGCAGACTTCATATTGATCAAGTCTCTGCAACAGCTTGTCATTTCTCTTACATTAACTACAGTACAGCTAATACAGACATATATAGCCATCATCTGCCCTTTGTTTCCCACCCCTGCCTTCCTCTTTTCTAATCACCCTTCACTGTTTCAATCTTCTGTACTTCTCTCATACTGTAATTCTTCCTCACTCCTTAGCTCCTTATGTTCAGAGGTTGTTAACAACTCTCATGTGACACATGCCCTCAGTGCACAACATCTGAGCATCTTCCCCTACTGCTCAATGTCCTGTTTCTCCTTTAAGTTTCACTTCCTTTCCATTGTCACCAGGCAGCTCTGACAATAACCTTCTCCTTACCTTCAACAACACAGCAACAGCCTTGCCTCTGGCCACATCTCCACAATCCCCAATGCCAAAAAAAGAGCACTGTTCCTGAAATTCACTTTCTTGCAACATCACCTGTCTGGGCCTGCCAGGGTCAGAGCACCCTAAGGAGAAGGGCTAAGCTGCAGATGAGTCCTGTTACTGGAAACACTCTCGTTTTGTTCTGTCTACACTGTAAGTAATGCATACGTGGTTTTCTTTCTTCTTGCTTTTATTTGTATTGCAAATTCTTTGAATAATGGTCATGCCTCTTAAATATTTAACACAAGACCTGTTCCTTCAAAAAAAAAAAGGAAAAGATATTTCTAGTTATTTAGATAACTTATTCTTCCCCTCTAAGCTGTTCTTATTCTTACAGTTCTGGTCACCTGACAGGACATTTCTATCAGCTGACCTTACAGGAACACAGTACTCTAATACTAGTTGGGTCACCTCGAGCGTACAACTACTTGCTTTCATTTCAGCAGGGTCCACAAAAAAGCCATGTCAGAAGCCTCAAGTCACATCCATCATCCTTTAATAAACAGAAGTTGTTCATTACAAAAAACAGAGTCATTAAAACCCTGTGCAGCTGAAAGAGCAGGAAAGATCAAGACCTTTGCTATACTGTAGCTGCTTCAGCACTAACAGGAGAAAAGCACCGAAATACAGGATTTATATTTCTCCTGACTTCATACAGAAACAAAATCCCAAAGGTTGACAGAAATATATTTAATGAACGAAAAAAAGAGTAACACCTACTTGCTTTTATGCTTTGCCATTAAAACAAAATTAAAATGTTGGAAGATTACTACAAACAACAAAATAATAAAAAGTCACCATTGGTGGTAAGTTGATAAGACTGTTCCTTTAAGCAATATGGCTATGCAAAGAACACTACTACTCAGGTTTTAATAGCTGGAAAATACAAGCATGAAGCAAAACAGGGCACACACTAACAATACTGGAGACATCAAGCTCATTGCTTATGAATTCTCTTTTCCAAAGAGTACCATTTTCTAAACATCTTAAAACAAAGGTTCAGTAACAGAATCCTCTTTAGTAAACACCATAAAATCACAGAATGATTCAGCTTGAAACACAACTAAGGAGGTCATGCTCCTCATTGCCACTAAAAAGCTCACAATGTAAGAGAGGGTGAAGCAAAAGGAAGAACAAGTATCAAACTCACCATGGACTTGATTGATTTCTGAATTCTGAGACAGAATTTCATCTGCTAATTTTTGAGCAGTAGGCAAAACTTCTGTGTGGTGCACTGTGATCAAATACTGTACAAATTTTTGTAGTTGGTCTCTGTTCATTTGAAAGAGTGTCTCTGAAATGGGGAGATGCAGTTTGACCTGATCTGGCTTGCGGATCCGGTATAAAGAGAGTGCCACAACGTGGGCACAGTAAAATATGTCCTTGTTTCCACAGCTACAGGTCACTGAGGTAATCTTGCAACGATCAAAGCTGATAGCTACATTGCAAACAGTTTCTGGCTCCGATTGCATTGCAGGCTCTGTTACTGTGCCACTCAAGTGGAAACCTGTGCAAGGAAAAAAAGAGAACTTAATGATATATGTAAAATAGATCTCATTATCAAGAATCTTTTGTTAATAGAGTAAAAGTCGTTGGCTATTTCTGAGAAATGATACATCTCAAAGAACTTGCTTAATTACAAACATGATCAATCCTGTCTTTTGTACATACTGATTTCATCTCCAATAAAATCAAAAGGGGAGTAAAAAGTTAGTTTACAAGCCCACTGCCATTCTATCACAACATTCTTAAAAGACTGACAGCGAGAGAAATATTTACTTGATAAACGACAGCTGCAGAAGTAAGGCAGCATCCCATCAAGACCGATGTGAAACTCCTATACCTCAGTAAATTGGCAGCAATTTTCCAAACCCCCCACCAGGGAGCCTGCCACACCTACCAGCACATGTAACCATTCTCTCAATAAGTTAGAGGGAAGTAGTGCACTCTAGTGGCATGAACACGGGTCCTAGTCTCAACTGACTCACTGACACAAGTCACTTAATTTCTTTGCTTTCAACTCTCCCACCACTGAGCTCATATTAAAGCTCACCTTCCCCCAAGTGACCCAGTAGAACAGCCATGTCTGTGCAGCTCTTCGGAGATACAAACTGCTGCAGTTACCAATACACAGGATGTCAGATTTATAACACTGAATGAGACACATGCACTGTTCCAGACATCTGCATTATGGTCCTGTTTTCCATACAGCATGACAAAGCACAAGGCAAAAGAGCTATGTTTGCTTATATTGTAAGGAGATATGGTATACCATACTTTGCTTTAGCAAAGACACCATGTGTAGACACAGCACAAGGTCTCAAATGCTGAAGATCCAACCTAAAACCATCTGTTTGCCCAACATGAAGGCCCAGGTTTGGCTCTCAATGATTTAACACTGAATAGCAGTGACAGCGGATTTCTTTTTGACTTTATGTCAGCATGACACTAATTTCAGCTCAAGCATTAAGTCAGAGGTGCAGATACAGGGCAATGCAACTAGATCTCATACGCCGTACCAGTATTAGATTTGGACAGTACATATAAAATCTTGGATAGATACAAATAAGGTGTTATACATTATCTACTTATAATGGAAATAATATAAACCCACACTCCCTCAAAGTCAAAAACTGATATAATATTCTTGAAATACCAGAAAAGTGTATTGCAGTAAGCATTGTCACATGAAGATTAGATAGGGGGGAAAGGAAAGAAATATATACATAGCTCTAACCAAAAATGCTGTATCCCAAGTAATTTTTAAAAAGCTCTTCAACTTACAGGAAACAGAGATGAAAATCTCTCATTTTTTTCCATTTGTTTACACTGTATGTTTCAGAGCAGGCTGTGCAGTCAGCATCCCTGTCTGGATTACATTCAACTGCAGTAGTCTGATACTCTATTCTGAAGAAGGTCACGCACACACTAACCTTGACTTTGCAAGAGAATGTTTACCAGGTAAAGTAGTTAAGAGTCAAGGCTGAAGAGGCAGTAAACTGTAAAGTGCACAGAGAGGAAGGGGAGAGCATGAACAAACCCAGGCCTAGGCAGTATTCTTGCTCTTGTCTCCACTCAACCTTTGCTAAGGGAAGGGGAGTGGAACTGCCCCTCATATCAGGAGCTTCTCCCTCTGCCTTTCCTTTTGGTTTTTAAGTAGTCACAGCATGTTCCTCCAAGTACCTTCTCTCAAAAAGAGAAACTTTTTAAAACTTAACCAGCTGTATTTGTTTCAGGTTCATTCCCAGTAAGTGCAAGTTGGATTGATGGTCTCAAAGAAACTGCATGGGAGTTTTTTTAAATATCAATTTTCTATGAAGCACACGAAAAACTCTCTAATCCATGAGCTGAGGAAAAGTCTAATGCTTATACACTGGAAGAGCCTGATCCTACTCTTAGTAAGTATCTGAACTCCTATTAATTCCAGTAGAAAAAGGCCCAATAAAAGATATTCCATTAAACGGATGTAAAATAATAAAAAAGACCAGCCAGCTACCCCAACAATACTACCACTTTTAATTTGTCAGTACATAATTCAAACATTCAGAAAAAGGTAAAATCCTCCCGGAAACATGAAGGTCTCCAGAAATATTCATTGTTAAAAGCAGGCCTGCCCTTGAATCCCTTTTCAGATACAAACACAGCTCATGGCTCCCTCTCCACTGAGTTTTTTAAGAATTCATATTACAAGAAGCAACATTTAGAAACACAGACCCTCATCTAAACAATGACAGCACTAATAGAGTCAACATACCTAACCTGCCCTTCTTAACTCTCAGAGAGTTTAAACAAAAACATCAGCTGACCTTGCAGGCTAAAGATGTAGAAGCTGTGTATTAACTATCCCACCAGGAATGCCTTGTAATTATGGAACACTGTTTTCCTCCTCTTTTTCTGTGTTTTTAAAGAAATAAATTGTTTTTAGTAAATATGACCTTTAAAAAGGTTTCAACACACCAGAGAAAACAATTCAGGAAATTTCAGCTCAGGAGCCCTGGTAGGGTTGTTATAATTAACCCACCAGACATCAAATGACACCACCTCCACTGCCTCCAATACTGCAGAATACTGAGAGAGCTGTTGCTCTCCTGTAGACATAGCCTTAAATCTTTTATAACCTAACAATCTAATATTCTCCAAATAAAGTATGAAAAGTCAGTAGCAGGTAAAAAGTTGATACTCTGTGCTTTGCTAGAAGGTGTTCATCAGAAGTAATTCATAGCTTGCCGAGAAGCAAGATGTTACATGGCCCTGCAAGAAGATAGAGGGAATTACCTGTGCGGGGGCTCAAATATAATAATGTTTCACTAACAGGTCCAAAGATTCAGAAGCCGTCTTTTCACCTAAAACTTGCAATGCCTCACCCTAAACAGGTACTTCCCTTCAAAGGGAAAATTTCTTTTACCCAAAGTTACAAAACCTTGGCTGGAAATACTTATCCATTCCAAAAATGTCTAAGAATACTGAAGAACACTTTTCAGTATAAGAGTTCATTCATTATTATCTAAAGACAACAAAAGAATTGCAGGTGGAAAAGCATGTGTTTATTACAGAAGCTATTTATAGAATAGGCATGTATCACCTTTTCCCTTCAGCTGCTGCAATTTGAAATGTTTTAGTCTTTTCAAACCAGCATGTGACCAACAATTCAAGTCTTGCTGACATTTTCAATGTGCAGAGGCTTTGCATTCTGCAAAAGTGTGTTTAGAAAAAGCAGTTGGAGCATTAAGACAATGTATAAAATAAAGCTCTTTTAACAGAGGGATTTTGCTGCTGTTGAACACTCACCTCAAACATACCTCAAAAGTTATTTAACAGCCAATAAGATAGTGTTCTCAGCTGTTGTACTTTCAGAAGGGGATTGTGCCAAACGCCATCAGGAGGAAAGCATTAAGAAGTCTGTGAATTTTACAAAGCAATTTTTGCCAAAATCTGCTTGACAGCATCCAGTCCATTAACTAAAAACATTCTGTGACTGTACAGCTGCCTGATAAATGAAAATCTGCACTATTACAATGTAGTATTTGCCAGCACAAGTATATATGCTTGTCATAAAAAAAAACCCAACAACAAAAAACACTTTAGAATAAAACAAAAGAAAATTCAAACTCTAAGGCACTAAAGAGGAGAAATAAGAGTAGTACGTGGAGAAGCAGCAGCAGTTAGGCTTTTAGTTCCTCAAGTCAAGGGAATCTTGAAATAGGGGATTTCACTAATCTAACAGGCTAAGCAGCAAAGTTACTGCACTAAACAAGCACCATCAATGACATCTCACAAGCCAAATTCATTTCTACTGTCACCCAGTGTTAAAAAACATTATCCTCAATATACTCAATCCCAAAGACACATTTTGAAAACATACAGACCAAAATGAACAAGAACTGCCAGAACCAGCCAACTGAAATGCTGAGGTGGGAAGGGAGGGAGGGTGGGAGAGAGGAGGACCTGTGCAGTAATGCCAGTGGTTAAAACAAACAAACAAACAAATCACTCTAAGTTCATCCTTGCAATTGAAGGATTTAATGGAAATGCAACCACACCTCACCACTGAGTATTGTTTATCCTTTACAGAAAATATAAAAATGTCAGAACTGGATTACAGTAATACCTCACAGCTTAAAAAATGGTGCTTTTGAATAGCTTTTCACCATGTGCCTTTTGAGAATACTGTACATGCCTCACCCACTATGCATACATTATCCTAAAATCAGGAAATATACCACCAACTGTATTTGGAAAATGGATGTGTTCCTTGATCCACTGACTCTTTTACCATGTATATATACTTTTAGTCAGGAACATACGTTAGCTGTTTTACTACCACAGAAGAAGCCAACAGATGAAGTTACATATAGAGAAAAAAAAGCAAGAGCTTGTTGTGGGAGCTGGGTAGTCTTCAGCATGCAAGGTAACCTCCCCCTAAATAACCTGATGTTGGTTATCAGAATCATACACTCTGTCTTTAACAATCATTTAAAATAACTTGCAGGCCTATGAGCTAGCATTTATTCAGACTACTATATTACTTGGCAAACACATTATCACTGTGTAAACACCTCTGTTTCATCTTGCCTACCAAACAAAAACAGCAAGAAATGCTTATGGGAAGTAGTTTCCAACCATGCCCATTACCTATTTTTTCATACTAACATCAGTGGTTGCATTTTTTTTCCTAAGACAAGCAAAAGTCTAAACTATATTTACCTCATTCAAATTTTGCCTTTTAAGAAGTAGTTTTCCTTTAACATGGTAAAGTAGTATCCTATATTCAGTTCTGTCTGAACTTTGGAACACTCTAAAACCAGATGAACAACACACTTTGAAATTATTGTCAAAACTTTGCATGCCGCCTCTCAGCCTGAAGCTAAGGTTAACAGCCTATTTATAAACAGAGAAAACACTGATTTAAGGTATAGACAAGCTTATGTTTTTAGGTCACTGCCACCTAGAATAAAATTGGCATTTTATTCCACTGCAACCACAGAGGATCTGTAATAACCAACCACC